GAGGTGCCAACCCTGAGTCTCTAAGGCTAGGATGATGTGGGATCATTGCCATGTTGTCAGCTGATTGGATGAAAGGGAGTAAGGGGGAAGGAAGCAGGGTGGCTAAGATTGAGAGAGGGTCAGGGAACCTGATGGAGAGACGTGGAAAACTTCGGCATTTCACTGCAATTCCCCTTCCGTTCTCCCACTGTCGTAGTAATAGGAAAACAATAGGAAACATTTTTATTTTATTGTTTGGTTCTCTTTGAGACAGGGTCTCGCTACATAGCCCTTTTTGTCCTGGAACTTCCTATGCAGGCCAGGCTGAACACTCACTACGTAGACCAGGCTGGCCAAGAACTCACAGAGATCTACTTGCATCTGCCTCCTGAGTGCTGGGATTAAAAGGGGCAACCACTGTCCAGTTAGGGAAAGTTCTGTGTTGAAAAATTTACACTGGGGTTGGAGAGATGGCTCAGGGGTTCAGAGCATGTACTGCTCTTGCAGAGGACCTAGGTTCAGTTCCTAGTACTCACAGAAGGTGGCTCACAACCATCTGTTAACCACTTCCAGGGGAGCTTATGCCCTTTGGTTCCAGGCCATCCTGAGATATAAAGACAAACTCTGGGGGCTGGAGAGATGGTTTGGTGGTTAAGAGCACTGGCTGCTCTTGCAGAAGATCTGGGTTCAATTCCCAGCACCCACATGGCAGCTCACAATCATCTGTAACTCCAGGCCCAGGAGATCTGACACTCTCTTCTGGCCTCCACAGGCATCAGGCACACACATGGTGCACATACATGCATACAGGCAAAACAAAGACAAACCCTGTGCAAAATAAATAAATAAATAAATAAATACGCAGCTATTGGAGGCAAATGTAAATGAGTTGAGGTAGGTGGACTAGCACTGATTAATTAACCTTTAACGCTGACCAGGCATTGTGTTAGCACTCACTATCTAACAGGCTTCTGTGAAATGTGGCTGGGGTTGTAGCTTGGTAAGTAGAGCCCTTACCTAGCATGCAGGAAGTCCTGGGTTCCATCCTCAGCACCACTGTGTGCTGTGTCACATGCCCGTCGTCTCCGCACTTGGAAGGCAAAGGCAAGAGAGCCAGAAGTATAAGGTCATTCTCGGCGCGTAGTGAGTTCCAGGCCAGCCTGGGATATATGAGATACTCTCTCATAATGAAAGAGAAGGGAGGGAGGAAGAGAGGAGATAATCTGCCAACATATCATAGCACGTGAAGAGTGGTGGTCAGATCTGAAGACAGTTCTGACAGCAAGGCCGACCGTCTAAAGCTGCTCAGTCATTCCAACAGCAACAGCCAGAGCTATGCACGTAGGGAAAGGCTGTGATGGAAGATCCCTAGAAGAAAGACTCCAGGATGTCTGCAAAGGAGGGTCAGAATGTGGGAGCAGGTGCACACACGTGGTGCCTATACACACACACACTACACACATGGCTCCTATATACACACATGCTCTACAAACAGCCTTGGTGCTTATTCTGGTCTAAAGATGAGCTCATCTTAACAGGGGACTGCACTAATAAAGGACTGCCAAGTAAAGGGGGACACCATGAATAACACTGGAGTGACAGGAGTCAGGAGTGGCCGCTGCCCTGAGGACTGGACTGGAGCCCCCAAGGGGGAGCTGCTTACTCCTTCCAGCCAAGGAAGGCTGGCAATGAAGCAGTTGGGTGCTGAAATGACCGGGCTGAATGCAAGATACTTCGGGAAAGCATCTCAGCATAAGAAACATGCAAAGAGCCGGGCGGTGGTGGCGCACGCCTTTCATCCCAGCACTCGGGAGGCAGAGCCAGGCGGATCTCTGTGAGTTCGAGGCCAGCCTGGTCTCCAAAGCGAGTTCCAGGAAAGGCGCAAAGCTACACAGAGAAACCCTGTCTCGAAAAACCAAAAAAAAAAAGAAACATGCAAAGAATGCTGGGCGGTGATGGCGCATGCCTTTGATCCCAGCCCTCAGAAGGCAGAGGCAGGCAGACCTGGGTGAGTTTCAGGGCAGCCAGGGCTACACAGAGAAACCATGTCTTAAAAAAAAAAAGTAGAGAAAGAAAGAAAGAGAGAGAGGGAGGGAGGCAGGGAGGGAGGGAGGGAGGGAGGGAGGAAGGAAGGAAGGAAAGAAAAGTGGAGCTTTTATCTATACCAAGGGACCTCAGAACCAGTGCATAGACCTTGTTAGACCCCCAACTGCGTTCTCTGTAAACTGAACTACTACCTTATAAGGCCAGGATCATGCTTCCTTCTGTAGCCCCTTAGCCAGTTAGTTTTAACTGTCAACTTGGCACAGCCTAAAATCACCTGAGAAGACTCTCAGTGAGGAATTAGCTAGATCAGGTTGGCCTGTGGTCATGTCTCGGTGTGGAGATGGTCTTGATCGTTAGTTGATGTAGAAAGATCCAAGTTACTGTGGGCAGTTCCAGTCCCTGGTTTGGGGCCCTGGACTGTGCAAGTGTAGAGAAAGTAGGGCTGGAGAGACGGTCCAACGTTTAGAGCCCTTTCTGCTTTTGCAGAGGACTGAGGTTCGGTTCCAAGCACCTACATGGTGGCTCATGACTGTTGTACAATATTATTTTAAGGTGTGTTACTTTTGTTTATGTTCCATTTGTTTAACTCTGTGAAGCTGTGTTACTGTGCTTGTCTAAACACCTGATGGTCTAATAAAGAACTGAACGGCCAGTAGCAAGACAGGAAAAAGGATAGGCAGGGCTGCCAGGCAGAAAGAATAAATAGAAGGAGAAAGAAGAGGAAGAAACAAGAAAAGGAGGAGAGAAGGACACCAGGAGCCACCCAGCCAGCCACAGAGTAAGAAGGAAAGAGAGGTACATAGAATAGAGAAAGCTAAAAGCCCAGAGGCAAAAGGTAAATGGGATAATTTAAATTTAAGAAAAGCTGTCTAAAAACAAGCCAACCTAAGGACAGGCATTCATAAGTAAGAATAAGTCTCCATGTATTTATTTGGGAGCTGGGTGGCAGGCCCCCAAAGAGCAAAGAGTAAACACACACACACTGATATTGAATTGATCTTAAAAATCGAGTGCACAGCCAGGCGGTGGTGGCGCACGCCTTTCATCCCAGCACTCGGGAGGCAGAGGCAGGCAGATCTTTGTGAGTTCTAGGCCAGCCTGGTCTACAGAAGAGATCCAGGAAAGGCACAAAGCTACACAGAGAAACCCTGTCTCAGTTTTAAAAAAAATTGAGTGCACATCTCTTTCTGAAGATGTTAAATTTCGCTTAACCACGTCTCTTTTGTAATCTTTAGATTTTTTTTATAAGCAATTCTTCATAATGGACATGTTTTGTTTTGAGACAAGGTCTCACAAAACCAAGGCCGGCCTGTGTACTATGTAGTCACTCGAGAATGACCTTGAACTTCAGATCCTCCGGCTTCAAGATGGATGACAGACCTGTGTCGCCACCCCGTTTAAGTAGTGCTGGGGAACAAACCCAGAGCCTGAGGTGTGCTGGTCAACCACTCAGCCACCGAGTTACAGCCTCAGCCCCCACAGTGGGCTTAAATTTCCTAGCATACTGTCTCCTGTGTGAAATTAGTAAAAATAAGACTGTATAAACTCGTTTTAGGCCTTTGATGAGAATTTAAGAGCTTACCTGACACCTAACACCCACCCCGTCCCCGTCCTCTCCCCTACACCCTCACACAACACTACTGACTGTACGACTTGACCCTCAGAAAATCCCCTGGGTATTTTCAGGAAGAGTGAGGTGGCCTCCTCCCTAGTTGGGCGGAGCGGCTTGAAGCAATCAAACTACAAATCAGTCCCTAAAAAGTCCTCTGTCGGTAGCCTAAGGGCCTTTCTCCGTTGCTTCAGCCTACAAAGCCCATCCTGCAGACCAAACCCAGAGAAGGGTTGCTCTCAACCCTGGGCTCTCCTCTTTAAGCCCCTCCTCCCTTGGTTCGCGGTACCCAAAGATTGCTACTTCCCACGTCCGACCTCCGTTGTCTCTCTACGCCTCTTTATGCGCATATGCACCTCCATACTGGCTTTCTGCCCCATGTCATGCACCCTGCCTCCCTTCTGCGCAGGTCTTCCAGCCCAGGCCTTTCCATTTTGCCCAGTCTGTCTCCTGGCACCACTTTCTCCCTAAGGTCCCCTTTCACATACCCCTCCCCTACGCGGGTCCCTCAATTCTTTCGCGCAGTCCACCTCGAATGTGATCTCTGCTGAATTCTGTCCCTGCTTCCCACAGACCCCGCTCAGTATCCTACTCGATATAAAAGACCCTGCGGCCTGCCAGACCCAGCTTGGCATTCCGTCCCGGAGCCGGGACCTTGCTCGGGCCCCCTGCTCTGCATCCTGCACCGGAACTGAGAATCTGCTCAGCATTCCTCCCCTCAATGGAACCCTTGTCCCTCCTGTCTTCGCTCAGCATCCCGTCCCCGGAGTGGGGACCCAGCTCAGCATCCCATCCCGGAGTGGAGACCCTGCGTCCCTCCACCTTCCGTTCAGCACCCCTCCCCAGAGTGGGGACCCCGCCTCTCCTGACCCAGCTCATCTCTCCCTAGAGCCAGGACCTTGCTCACCATCCTCCCCCGGACCAGGACATTCTGCATTCATTCTTCCAGACCCCGGCTCTGCATCCTTCCTCGGAGCGAGCACCTCCGAGCGAGGACCCTGCTCACCATCCTAACTGGGACCAGAGCATCCTGCATCCCTCCAGACCCATCTCAGCATCCCGCTCCATAGTTAGAACTGAACCTGCGGGCCGCTCCCCTCCCTCGCCCGGGCAACTCTTCCCTCTTGCACTTTCTCTACTTTGAACCCATCCCAGCAGAGTCCAGGAAGTAGCCTGGCACCGGAGACCGGCAGCGGCGGAGCCCAATGGAGATCGCCAGCGGCGACGGAGACCCCGCCCATACAGAGAATACGGCCAATATGCGCACGGAGGCGGGACTTCCGCTGTGCTGCGGCGGGCGGGGGAGCGCACTGTTGTGGTGCGGCGCGTCGGGCGGGCGGCGGCCGGGGCGGCCCAGGGGCTGCCGCGGGGACTCCGGGCGCCGCCGAGCGGCAGGGCGCTGGGGCGGGCCGTAAGCACCGCGGGGCCCGGACACGGCAGGTTCGAGGCCGGGCCCCCGCGCGGGGAGCCGCGGGGTGGCGACTTTGCGGCGCGGCACAGAGCAGGCGGGAGCCGGCGGGGGCCTCGGGAGCCCCAGGGCGGCCGGGCCCGGATCCCGGGGGAGCCTCGCGAGCCCGGACCGGAGCCTCGGCGTGTGCATCCCCGGCAGGGCCCGGGCTGCAGGAGCACAGAGCAGCCGGGCCTCGCGGAGCTCAGAGCGCGCCTGACCCGGGGCGCACCGTGGGACTCGGGCGCGGGGCTGGCGGAGAGCTGCCCCGCGGGGCTCACAGCAGCGGAGTGGCCTACAGGGGCCCTCCCCCGGAGGGGCCGGGCCGGGCCGGGGAGATGAACGGTTTCAGCACCGAGGAGGACAGCCGCGAAGGGCCCCCTGCCGCCCCCGCCGCCGCCCCGGGCTACGGCCAGAGCTGCTGCCTCATCGCGGACGGTGAGCGCTGCGTCCGGCCCGCGGGCAACGCCTCCTTCAGCAAGAGGGTGCAGAAGAGCATCTCGCAGAAGAAACTCAAGCTGGACATCGACAAGAGCGTGAGTCTCGGGGCTCAGCGCAGGGCCGCGGGAAGGGACCCTGGGGACGCTCGGTGCGCTGGGCCTCGCCGCGCGGTCTGTGCAGAACAGGGGACTCGGGATCGTGGAGGCCGCTCTGTGCTCCGCGACGCTTGCCCACATCCCAGAGGGTGGACTGGGGGGCCGAGGAGGGCTTGGCACACTCTCCCTGCCTGGGAAAGTGACAGCAGTTTGCAGCTGTCACTGTTGCGCGGGATAGTAGAACAGAGAGAGGTGGGTTACTTTTGCAAGAATTGGGGATAAGGGGTGGCAAGGAGACCCGGAGGCTCTTCTCCAACTTCGTCCTCCCTCCAGGGACCTTGTCGTTCTTTCAGACGCTAGCAAGGTGGCCGCGACTTTCCTGTCTCCCGCGGCCTCCGTCTCTGCAGCGCAGCAGCAGCACAGAGCCCGCTTCGCTAGCAGTGAATGAGTTTTTCTGAGATGTGGCAGAAATAAGGCCAAGGCCAGGTCTTAGATGACTCTTGCAGTGGATGTGATTGGAGGGGGGTGCGGGGAATCAGTTTTCTTGATGGGTAACATATTTGGTAATGCAGACGGAAGCGGAGATTTTAAATTGAATGGGATTGCCTTGCGCCTTGTGGCTAATTATAGGAAACTTCCTGAATGATTTCACCTGCTCTTGTTAACGGTTCTGAAGATGTGCCTATTGCCAACCGGTTACAAACTTTTTAGTTTGACATCTGTTGCTGCAAGACCTGAGTGGCAGCTTCCAGATTAGGAATTGGGACTGAGTTAAGGAATTTTTTAATATTCAGGGAGCTTGAATGATTAATGTCCAACGTTTAGGGCAGTGTTTCTCAGCCTTCCTAATGGTGCGACCCTTTAATACAGTTCCTTATGTTGTAGTAACCCCCAAACATAAAATTATTTCATTGCTACTTCATAACTGTAATTTTGCTACTGTTATGAATCATAATGTAAAATGTGTGACCACAAGGGGGTCGCGACCCACATGTTGAGAACAACTGCATTAGGGACAATGAAAGGGGAGCCACCTTTACACTAAACAATGTGGCAGAAACTAAGGCTGGGGGCAGGAAGCAATGGTGCCACATGCCCACTGCACTTAGAAGCTGGCTAATTTTCTAAACCCATTACCTGGCTTGCTTCCAAGCCCTATCCCCAAGTTTCATTCTCCTTTAATAAATAAGGTCATCATCTTTTCTTCTAGACTCTTCTCTCACACACTCAGCTTTATTTAGTTAACCAGTATAGTCTGGCTCTTTTGGAATAGTGCTGTTTTATTAAATGATTGGGACTTTCTTTTCACAAATGTCTGTCAATAAATAAATGAGAAATGAATAAATGAATGAAATTACCCTGAAACAAAACCTTCAGGACAGTAGGGTGTCCCCTGATAATCACATGTGGGGGTGAAAAGAGGATTCTAGAATGGCGATGGATGTATTCACTTGGAAACGGTGCCTGCCTCCTGTGTGGGCTGCTGGCAGTGTTTCTGTCAGCACATCTGGATGGTTTTATTGTTGCAGCAGAGACTCTGTTTACCCACTTGGCCCATGGGAAACCCATGTGGAGCAGTGTTGAACATCTCACACACATCGTCTGGAAGAAAGGCCCCATTGGCCTTGCAGCAGCATCTCCCAGAGGCAGTGCTTGGGAAGGCATGTGGTTGGAAGTACAGTCTCAGTCCATTTCAAGGTGGCAGTGCAGTGTCATCCTTTCTGAAAGAGTTCCTATTTCGTTTCACAGACGTGGGCAGGAATTCAATCCCAAGTAACTGCTGTGTTACCAGAAAGTTTAGCTGTTATAGCAAGTGAAACGGGGGAGGAAAAAAGAGACAACCACACAGTGAACCTTTGCTTCTACCCTCAATGCCCTACCCCACCCACAAAGGCCTCTGAGCCCTGAAGTTGCTGAAATGCATTTCAGACTTGAACATGGTTAAGGACCGAGAATGGCTATCTTGTAAAAGGATCAAGTGGGCGCCCTTTTAAAAAGACGCCACAACCCTTCAGGTGGCCACTGGCAGCCTCTGTGATGTATCAGTACAGGACCAACTTGCACTTGACATGTTTCTTCTTTGCTTCTGGAGAGTGGCTGGAGTTGAACACAGTATAAAGGAAATGTAGCAGGAGAAAAGGGGCATTTACCAAGGGGCTTGGGGGGCCTTGGGTCTGACATCTTCCCATCTAAGCTTTAGAAACACCCCGTTCTGCTGCTCTCCCAGTTTACCACTACGCTTGAGAGAAGCAGCTTGCTCTCTCAAGAGGCACATGCCATCATTGCCAGTCTAAGTGCCAGCTGCCAAGGGTGATGATAGTCTTGTGCCACCTGGGTGTTCCTCTTTAGGAGAGTGGTACATACTATTATCTGAAAGTTCATTGCCAGAGTGGAATCTGGCAAAGCCATCCCAATTTGTGGCCATGTAAGATGTGGCTTTCACCAGCATAAGCTGTTTTCAGCTATGAGGGGTGCCTATATTGGTGCATCAGCACTTATTGAGCTCCTGCTGTGTGCAAGACAGCATCACAGAATAAACTCAAAATGACTCATGACTCACTGATCCAACCACATGAAACTGATAATCATCCGAATAAACAGTTTTTGTTATTTCCTCCATAAAACGGCCCGAATTAATTGATGGTGACTTCCTGTCAGCTTACTTTTATCTTTAGGGATTTAAGGACTAAACTCCAGTTCAGATGTCTCCCCAGAACATTTGTGCACCAGCTGTCCCTACCCAGAGCCATTTACACAGGCATTGGGTTCTGCGGGGGTTTTTGGATGGTTCCTCCAGGCGATTGTGGTACTTAGGTTCTTAAATAAAAGCACGTTCTTCACATTTGAGCTGCTGTTGGCACCTTTATTAGTATGCTCCAGTGTTTATTAGAAAGGCAGGGTAATACCCCCTCCCTTTTACTTGGGTCTGCTTTGTGAGAATTCTGTCTCTCTCCAGTCCTCTGTGGAATCAGCTGTGCAGTAGCAGGAGTCAAGTTTTCCAGTGTTACTACCCTGCAGTGGTAGCTGTTGTGAGTACTGTCTCCACAGTCCCTGCTGCGCCTACCCAACATCTGCCCACTGCAAGTTCATACTTCCTCCTGGTACCTGTAAAGCCAGTCTTTTCCTGGCTGCATCCAGCTTTCCTGTCCTGGAGAGACTTGAATGCTAATGCACTGTGGTGTGTGTGTGTGTGTGTGTGTGTGTGTGTGTGTGTGTGTGTGTGTGTGTGCGTGTGCGTGAGTGAGAGAGAGAGAGAGAGAGACAGAGAGAGAGAGAGAGAGACAGAGAGAGAGAGAGAGAGAGAGAGAGAGAGAGAGAGAGATGCGAGTTGGGCATGTACTCTTCCACTTAGCTGCACCGCCAGCTCCCTGTATTTCTTCTTCTGCAGCCTGTAGTAATAAGGTTGTAAGCTGTGGCCTGCCTCACTCATCCGTCTCTTTCCAACCAAAAGAGGAAGCTTATTTATGATTTCTCAGGCTAACACTGACTTTAGGTTTCTTCCCATCAGGTAAGGCACCTGTACATCTGCGACTTCCATAAAAATTTCATCCAGAGCGTCCGAAATAAACGGAAGAGGAAGACAAGTGATGATGGCGGAGATTCCCCTGAGCATGATGCTGACATTCCTGAGGTAAAGGCCAGAACGCTGGTAGAGAGAGCCAGGAGAATAGATTGTGACCCAAGCCTCTGTCCCAGCCAGAGAATGGGAATAGTGGGTTCTGATTCCAGCTTTGACGAGGGTTGTTGTGTTTTCTGAACTAGCTAGTCATCTTTGCTGTGGTTTGTTTGAAACGTGTTTTCTAGACTCTGAGTAACGTTGACTCTGAAAGACTGGTGATGAGCTGCTCTGTCTGCCTTGTCACTCTCCAGACAGGCCCAGGCTCCGAGCTCCAAGGTGGAACTAGAGCTCTGCTCATAGTCTTTGTAGTAGACTGCAGGACTTTGCCTCTTGAACCCGACCAGGGCTTAATCATGGTGTTGCCTCCTTTAAACCCCGTTCTTGCCTTTAAAGTTAATGCTGAGCCTGTGTGACCTGGGCAGCTCTCTCCCCTTCTTCTCTGACCTGAAAGTAAAAGTGTATCTTGTCAGTGTCACCAACTGGACTGGTGGTTGTCCTCAGAGACACACTGCAGTCATTTAGCAACTGCTGAAATTTGACATGGGGCGGGGGAGTGCATCTTGACTGTCACTCCAGAGGCCAGTGACATCATTGCCTTGAGTTGTGACAGTGAAAAAACGTCTGCAGATATTGCCATATATCCTTTGGGGTGTGCCCCCTCAAAGCAGTTCACAAGACCGTGAGCCCCAGCTTCTCACCCAGAAGGAGCCCATGTGTGTTAAGGAAGGAATTCAAGGAAGGAGTAGCTGGGTTTCCTTCCAAAGTGTTCTCACTTGGGTTTCGGCGGAAGAGGCACTGTGTCCAGTGCGCACTGAGCACGTGACACGTCGTTATCTCGTAAGGTGAGCACCTGTGAGCACACTCCAGGGCTGGGAGAAGTGGGTGGGCCTCAGTCTGCAGGTGTGGAGAGGCATGTGAAACTCAGTCCCGTCGTCCCAATGTCGCTTCCCCAGCCTTGCTTTCCAGCATCTTTTATTGCCTGTAGTGTTGCGGTTGGTTCATAAAGACATATTTAGTTTCTGAATCCCTTTGACCAAACATTTTAGAAAAGGTCCCAAGAATGTTTTAAAATGATTGGAGGATTCTGAACCCCCATACTGATTACTTTTCCTTTTTTTTTTTTGAAGCGAGTCCCACTTGCCTGAAGCAAGAGCCTCTCTCTTGGAGGCAGGTAAAGGCAACCCTTTCTGAGCCTTCTGTATTTCATGACTGGATGGCTTACCCCTTCCTAGGCTATCTGAACAAAGAGAGAGGGGTCTTCCTTGATGGCCCTTATCCAGCCATCTGCAGAGATCCTGGCCCTGAACTGCAGGTGGACCACTATGGTAACTCTCTAGGAAGGGGACACCTGAGGCTGAGCCTAGGAAGGAACACCCTGAGCATCTCTGTTCTGCCGCCATCCTGGGAGCTCTGCCAATCCACTCTCTCACTTGTCTCCTTCAGTGTCCCTGAGCTGGCCTTCCTGGACATGCTGGTGTCCTCTCGCATTGCCTGCAGTGGGGCTCAGCTCTGTCCACTCACTAGAAGGCCTGTGCTGCAGCGGCTCCCTGTTCCCCTCCAACCCTATCCTAAAGCATCTCCCCTAGCCCAAGCTCCTTCTGCCTTCCAGGACATGCCGTCCCTCGGCCAGCCTCCTCTCCTCTTTCTCACTACCTCTCTTCCGCCTCTCTTCTGCTTCAGCCTCCCCTCCCCCACCCACACAGAGCCCTTTCCCCAGCTGCCTTTGGCCTCCTTGCCAGTCACTAGTCCTTGGCGAACAGTGTCCCCGACTTCTTCCTCCTCAGCCCTCCCTAGGGTGCTAGGGTGTGCCGGGCCGGGTGGACTCCTACATGACTGTCTCTCCTCTTCTCTAGGTTGATCTGTTCCAGCTGCAGGTGAACACTCTCCGACGCTACAAACGGCACTACAAGCTGCAGACCAGACCCGGCTTCAACAAGGCCCAGCTAGCAGAAGTAGGTAGATAAATCAGAGAGGCCAGCCTGTGCTCCTGTGGTCCCAGCTATCCCTCCCACAGGTCATCCACTCATGCATCTCCTCCATGCAAGGTTTACTTTATTTATTACATATACATTGTTCTGTCCAAATGTTTGCCTGCAGGCCAGAAGAGGGCATCAGATCTCATTACAGATGGTTGTGAGCCACCATGTGATTGCTGGGACCTCTGAAAGAGCAGCCTGTGCTCTTAACCTCTGAGCCATCTCTCCAGCCCAAGTCTGTCCCTTTTTGCATGACGTAGAATTCAAGAGCTTTCCACGCAGAATAGAAAATCCTATTTCCCATAGGAAGCCATGCACAGAGAGGGATGGACCTTCTTAAAGTCACACAGCAACCTGAGGACCCTTGATTCTGATTCATGACGTCATTCTTACAAGGTTCTTGATAGAACCAGTCCTTTCAGGTGTGTCAGTTGGATTAGCCGCTGTGACTTTAGATTTAGGGTTTGTTTGTTTCTCTGGATAATGGGGACCAAGCCCAGGACCTTGTGTATGTCTAAGCAAGTCATCTACCAGTGAGCTTCCCCCTCAACCTCCAGGACCTACCCACACCGGCTTCTTGACCTCTGGTGTCAATGGAAGTCTTTCCCTATATGATTCATGGCACCCAAGAACTTTTTTTTCTCTCTTCATTGAGTTCTTAACTTCTTTTGGTGGGAAGTGGGAGGGGGTCACCCTTACCCCCCCCCCTCTCTCTGTCTCTCCTGTATGTGATCTAGCAATACTGATGGGCTCAAGTGATCTCCTGCCTCAGCTTCCCTTCCAGGCACATGTCATAGTACTTGGCTTCCTCATCCCTCTTAATTCTCCTGCCTTTTGTTGTAGAAAGTTTGAGAGGCGGAGAACAGAAAAACACAATCCCAAGACTTGGTTATTCCAGGTCTTTCTTCATCTGCCCTGACCACCTCCATCCGTGCAGGGTCTACTACATGGCTCCCAGCGGCTTGTTGGGGGTCTGTCTGACGTGTCTTCACTCTCCAGCCCTTCCCTCAGCAGCACAGAGGTACACCAGCAGCACACAGCTCCGCTGCTTACCCACCGCCAGCTAGAAGGAAGAGTGGGCCAGAGAGGAATTGTGTTTCTCCAGGCTAAGCCAACAAAAGCAGTCAGGACATGGCCAGTGGGCACTCTCTTCAGGCTGGCACACTTTCCCAGGGGCATGTGTCCCTACTTAGAGGAATTCTTGGGGCCAGACACTGTTTTGACTGTTCATTTGATAGTTTGGGATGGTTTTTATTTTGTTTTGGGGGGTGTGTATGTGTGTTTTTAAGGCAGCTGAGACTGGTGGTCTTGAACTCCTGACCCATCTGTCTCACCCTCCTGAGAGCCTGGATTACAGGCATTCAACACCACACCCAGCTTGACACAATTTTTTAAAACCTTTTTTTTTTTTTGGGGTTGATTTCCAGAGCCTGAAAGGCTTGGTGGCAATTAGCCAACCAGGGAAGTCCCAGCCTCCTTACACCACAGGATAGCTGAAGTCATGCCAGGGATGACTAGCTGCTACTGAAGAATATCTGTGCCTTGGTAGTGTCCTGGGCTGCAATGGTACACTTTTGGTAGCCCCGGGAGAAAAGCAGCTAAACCCTGGAGTAAGGGAACCCTACATCCTACAGCTCCTTGGCAGTCTAAATGCAGGCAGTCGCTTCTGGAAGCAGCTCCTGTTTCCTCTTTGCAGAGTGTAGGATGTAGGGCTCTGATGTGCACATAGCTTGGGTGACTTTGGTCTTTCCTCCTGTGTAGACTGTGAGCCGACACTTCAGGAACATCCCGGTGAATGAGAAAGAGACGCTCGCCTACTTCATCTACATGGTGAAGAGTAACAGGAGCAGACTGGACCAGAAATCGGAGGGCAGCAAGCAGCTGGAGTGAGGCACCAGCAGCCAGAGGAGGCGGAGGCCTTGGTGAGAGGACAGCAGTGAGATGCTTGATGACAAGTGGTGTCTGCACATCTCAGCCCATAAGGACTGTTCACGTCTACTGTAAATAAAGTTTGAATGATGGATACTGTAAATCTCTCTGTCAGGAGGATTATATTCTTACAGGTTAGCATGTGTATAGAAAGACTTTCACTGCTCAGACTGAAAAACAATATCATAAAAGGAATTTTAAAACCATGTCTTGAATACTCAGCAAAGCTTTAAATCAATTCTCCTGGAAATGCCGGGTGATGTGCATCTTGGCAGTCACCGTGCAGTACCAGGCAGCCACGGGCGAGGCCCAGCCCTGGTGGCATGGCTCAGTGACAGTGGAGGCACAGAGTGGACCCACGTTTAGACTGACCGATGCCCACTGGGGACACAAGCATGCCGCTTTACTTCAAGTTTTGCCATTTAGTAGCGACTCAGTTTGACACTGGTCCCCCAGTGGCCCTGCGACCCGTCCACAGTGGGCACCCCGTGTGTGTTGGCCAGAGCTGTCACAGCCACGCAGCTTCTGCTTTTCTCCTCCCACCACTGAGACCCGTCATTTGTGTCCCACTCTGCTTAGCCACTAGAGGTGGGGGAAACCCTGCCCCTCCACGGGAGCTGAGGATGCAGAACTGGCTGCTGTGATTCTAGAATTGACACGCACATGTCACAGGCTGATCGTGGTGGTGCGTGCTTTAGTCCCACCACCTTGTCAAGAGGACAAGGCAGAAGGCTAGAGAGCTCCGGAGTAAGCGCGGCTAAAGACCCTGTCCCAGAAACAAAATGGTGAACCTTGGGATGGCTCATCAGGTAAAGGCACTTCCTGCCAAGCCTGATGAGCTGAGTTCAGTTCCTGGCCATGTAGTGGAGAGAATTGACTCCTGCAAACTGTCCTCTGACCAGCACACACACAATCGATAAATAAATTTTTAAAGGTTTTAAGCAAAACCATATCCCTCCATGAGAGTCTTCTGCACTTTACCCAGAGTGAGGTATATACCATAACCCGTTATGCTCCTGGCAGGGCGTGCTCTGACAGACAAAGATGGAGTGTCTAGGCTCATGTTTTCTGTCTTTAGTTCACAACCTTCGGGAGAGCTGCCAAGGTCCCCATGGGAAGATGATGTGTCTGGACTTGGCTCCTTGGCCCTGTGAGGCCAAAAAAAAGTGTGGGTGAGGGGAGACAAAAGTCACTGCCACCTGGTGCTCAAGTGAGGAAGCCAGAATCCGCCTCCTTTCAGGGAGAATGCTTGCTAAGGTCATTTTTTTTTATTTATTTATTTTTTTTTTCGAGACAGGGTTTCTCTGTGTAGCTTTGCGCCTTTCCTGGAACTCACTTGGTAGCCCAGGCTGGCCTCGAACTCACAGAGATCCGCCTGGCTCTGCCTCCCGAGTGCTGGGATTAAAGGCGTGCGCCACCACCGCCTGGCTTATTTTATTTATTTATTTTTTTTTTTTCGGCTAAGGTCATTTTTAAAGTATTCATTTTTCTCATTGTTCAAGTCAGACTCTGCTGTCTGGTTATGTCAGAACCAAAGCATCCTGGGAGAGCAGAGCTTTTCTATCCAAAGATGTTTGCAGAATCTCCAGTTGGTGGGGCAAAGGATGTGGGTAGGAGGATAAGAGAAAAAGATTCCCAAGTTCCAACCATCCTAGTGTATATTTGGTCAAATGTCTCCTTTTCCTATTTCAATTCTGAGTTTTCCTTAAGCCTCAGCTAACAAGAGGACAGCAGGGGCCTGGTCCAGCAGTTTAATGTCTCCCAGATGGCTTCCCCTGAGCACCATCTCAGAAAGCAGTTAACCCCACACTGAGTGAGTGAAGGTATGTGTGATGGTCTCCCTTCTGTGGAGCAGAACACCATGCTTCTGTGGAATGGGGACGGGCCCCCAGTGTCACTAACTTACAGTGTGTTCCCAGAGTGCTCAAAATGCACGCCAAACAGACTTCAGCCTGGTAGAGCGTGTGTAAATAGGTGTATGTAGAATATGAAAGGTGTCCTGGTTGCAAGCAAGGGCTGATGATGTGCCCACTGGGTGTTTTCTGTCCGCAACTCCATGCAGAAGCTGGTCTCCCTCCCACCACTGATGGAGGCAATGAAGGAGGAGGAGGGGACCCAGGAGAAGCTGGTGTCTGAGGGCAGACGGGACCTTTAATTTAACTGGCCCTGTGGAAATGTCAGTATCTTATCAAGGAAGAAAATGTAGCTTTCTGATGTTTAAGCCAAAACTGTGAGCATATAAGTTGTATCACTGTTTCTTCAGCATCGAATTTAGTTTCCTGTGGAGAGGCTTGCTTCTGTTTAAGATCTGCCGTTCGGCTCCATCTGTTCCCATGTTTCTATGTCCAGATCCGAGCTGGGGAACATCTGCCCTCCAACCAGTTCCTGTCCCAGAATCCTTGTCCTCTGATGCACGCAGCCTTAGAGAAGGAGAGGCCGGGCTATCTTTTTCAACCTTTCAAAACAGATCACCTGACAGAAAAGGCCAAGCTATTCGAACTTACATTTTTCTCATGTCCAGAAGTCTGCTGTGTGATCAAAGCAGCCAGCCTCTTGCCTCCCGCCTGCTGGCTAAGCCATGGTGAGAGCTGCTTGTCTTCAAGAAGGGCTGAGGCCTGGCTTGGGGAGCAGCTGGGGTTGTCGAGAGAGCAGCGCTCATCTCGGGTGCCTGTGTTTTCATATCACCTGTCCATGCCTCGCACACTCCCCTACTCCCCCGCAATCTGTGATGGCTCAGCGTGGTCTTTTCTCTACTTGGTGCTCCTGGACAAAACTGGCATTTCAAGTCCAGACTGGCATGGCTTCCCACAGTTCCATCCTGTCTCTGGTCTAGCCTGGTGTGGTTCTCCAGTGTACCCTAAAGGTGATCACATGGAGACATCCATAGCCTACCATTCATGCTGGGCTTTAAAATTTTTACAAGGCAAATGGACGGGCTTCTTGTATCTCATTTCATGGAACAAACTGTGAAAGAAAAAAAAGGTCATAGCCAATCCTCAGGAAAGACAGCAAACCAAAATTCCAGGTGGGGTTGTGACTTGAGGAACTTGGCTTCTGTGTGCTGCATGTCCCTGCCATAGCTAGCTATAATCATAGGAGCCTCTCAGAGAGCAGCTCTTAATGTTGCAAGTAGAGCTTATAGCGGCCTTTGTCTGTGTGTGTGTATGAGTGCATAGGAACTTCCTGTTCATATTTTACCAAGTGACTGCCCGGTGTGTGGTGGTAGGATAGCTTGTCCACTGTAGTGGGTGGTCCCGGGCATAGTCCCAAAGAAGTTGCCTTATCAACACCATCTGAAGGCTCTCTGTTCTGTGACGGGATCTAAATAAAAGATTGGAAGTCTTGACTCCTCCCATCCAGCTCCCCCATTGGTGCTGACATTCTCCCTACCCATCTCATCTCGGAAGCGTCTGCACTTGGCCACCTCCAAGGACAGAGAGCTCACTACCTCCTGGGGAAGACTCTTCTGTCAGTTAGCTTCTGACTTTTCTGTGCTCTCTGAAATTTGGGGGCCATGTGAACAGAGTGGCTTATTGGGCAATTGTTCCACACACTGTATCTTTTTCTAGACGAGAACAGCTGGATATAACGTGTTTTGACTGCCTTTACCCCTAAGTTTTGGTCTTGGTTCCTTGTTGGAAAATGTTGAAGAAACCCTTCATGCCAAAGTTGCCAGCAGAGAATCCAAGTCATCGGCGGCCTTAGTCCCATGCTGGCCACACAGTCTCATGGCATCTCTGAGGGGAACCCACAGCTGTAGCGTTTTAAACAGCACATGGCTTTGCCTGGAGTCCGAGGTCCCCAGGTTACTGAGGACCCGTGCCGTACGGTTCCCGTGAGGGCTTCACCAGCAAAGCTGAAGTAGATGGGATACCAGTTCCTCAGAGTCACTCAAGGTGGCTCTCCCATCAGTTTTCAGTGAATTGGGGACATAAAGTCCTAAGTGATTTGCCAAGTTCACATGTTAGTGAGGGGCCTTTGTGACCCGACCAAGTTGGTCGTTTGTAGGGTGACAGGTGATCCAAGGTAAGCTGCCCTGACGTGCCTCAGAGCTTATCACTGCCCCGCCAGGGCAGCTGAGCTCCTGGGGACAAACGCTTGCAGAATTCCAAGTGGAATGATAGGGACTGCTGAGCTTAGCAAAATGACTGGCCGAGGAGCAGACCCCCAGCCGGCATGCCCACCACAGCCCCCAGCCCCCTGCCACCCAGGATAGCTGTGAATGTGGCCCACCACGGAATTGAAAGTTTGAAGCATTATGAGATTTGTTTTACAATGTGTAAAACTCAGTTGTGTTCTTGAGCATAAATTTTTGTTGACAGTTAGGCCCAGAGAAGCCAAAGGTTGAGCCAACCCCTGTGGGATGCAGTGTTAGCCTGCACCGTATCCTTATAAAGTGGGCTCTGCCTGTGAGCTCTGCCCAACTCCTGCCTTCCACCCTGGCTCTGAGGCTGGGTGATGGCCCTGGCTCCAGGTCCCTACTGAACTAAGCAGGGCAGTCAGGTGAGGGGGAACAAGGTCAGGCTCATGCCCTAGGGACCTCATGCATTTGGAGGTGCCTTTGCATTATTTCATTGGATTGCAGACTGGTTCCAAGTTTATGGTCAGGAAAAGGAAAGTCACTGTGATATTTGAAGTGGGCGAAGTAGGCCTGGGGCTTCAGGCAGAGCATCTCCGGTGGGTTCCTTCCCCCTGCTGGCACCTCTGCACACAAAGCCTCCCTCCGCTTACGGTCACGCGCCATCCTTGCCTGCTTTCTATTGCCTGTGATGCCCATTGGAGTGTCCTTGGGGAATGGGGTTTGTCCGCTTTGTAACTGCCTTATTGAAGAGTAAGTGCCCTTCCATCCCAGGCCTCCGACTGTATTTGTTTTCCTGCCAAACTTGGGGGGAGGGGGGTCATTTGTCTTTTGATTTCTGTGCCTGTGGCTCTGTACTGTTGAAGGTCTCAATTCTCTGGACTCTCCTTAGCATGTAAGTGACTCCTGTCGCAGTGTCACACAGATGGGATGGCCCGACTTTTATTCTCAATAAATGATCTGAATGAGCAAGAGACATCCTCCATGGTTCCCTTTGAATTCCTGCTGCTCAGAATCTAGCTGCTTCTACCCAGGCTGGGCCCCAGCGGTGTGTGACGGGCTTTAGTGACGGCCTCAGGTACCCACACTTAGGCTGCCTTTCAGTCTCAGTGCAGGCAGAGATGTGTGGATCACAGTGGGGTGGACCCAAGCCCTGCTCCTCCTGGGTGTCCCTCCCTTGGAGAGGGGCGATAGGCACCCAGTCCCTTAGCTTACTCATGATCGTCTAGAAGAGTCCCAAATGAAGTAGATAGAAGACTACAGCTCGAAAGCCCACCAGGCAACAGGCTGCAAAGGACTGTCCAGGTCCCTCCCATGACCTTTCTGCCCATGCCCTGTGGGCAGACCAGCTTGAACAGGTCTTGTGACAAGAGACATGGAACTCCAGACTCTTCCATAACTATCCCAATGCCGAGGTAGCAAAACCTCGCTTCACCGGCGCATGGACTGCTGTGTCCCCCCCTGCACGGACATTTGCCTTTGCCAGTCCCCAGACTAGTCACACACACAGACACCCCACAGTGTGAGAAGCTGGGCTCTCTGACTGAGCTTTGAGCCTGCAGGTTCCTGAGGCCTCATGGGTAAAACCCCCTGCCCAGCCTTACACTGTTAGGGGCACCCCAAGGCTCAGCACATGTGCTTGGCCCGTGCCCATGCCAAGGAAGGTGTATGGTAGTTTTTTTGTTGTTGTTGTCTTGTGTTGAGTTCGTTTCTTTAAGACAGTCTGGCTGTGCAGCTCAGGCCAGCCTTGAACTCGTGATCCTCCTGCCTCAGCCTCCTAAGTGGTGGGAATATGGAGATGCGACACCTGGCTATGGCTTTCCTTTTCTTTCTTTTGGCTTTTTTGAAACAAGTTCTTATTGGGTAGACCAGGCTGGCCTCTTAATTCAGTGTCCACCCTATCCTAGCCTCTAAGTGCTAAGTGCTGGGATTATGGAGTGTACTGTCCTACCTCACAAGGGTTTTTTAAGATAAATTTTAACAATGGTTTTACTCAAGGATTCCATACAACGTATTTTGAACTCTCGTAACCACTTCTCCACCTTCCCATCCCTTCCTACCCAACTTTGGGATTTTGTCTTCTTTCTTTCTTTCTCTATCAAGTCCGGTTTGTGTTGCCCACTAGTCTTGGGAGTTGGACCTGCCCTGACTTACCTCCCTACCCACCGGTCACATCCTTAAAGCCAGCTCTCCCTCCCAGCAGCTCTCAAATGCCAATAGCTCCTCAGCCCACCTCCCCCACTATCCTGGGATTTCATGTTAATTGCCGTCTACCCACAAGGAGAAGTATCTCTGATAAGGGCTGAGAGATGCTCTGATCTGTGGGTATGAGGATAAGTCGTTGGGAGTCGGCTTAATACTGTATTCCTTTAGAGTAATAGTGTTAGGTTCTCCCCTCGGTCCGTGACCTGTTTGGCCACAGGTGTGAAGTCGTTGCTCCAGCACACCCAGCTCGACTGATGGAGGTTTCCACAGTCCAGCCCTCCCCTCATCACCCTCTTCACATGAGATGAGAAGGCGAGCCGGGAGGTGGAGGGAGTGCTCGTGATCCCAGCACTTGGCGGGTAGAGGCTGTAGGGCCAGTAGTTCCTTCGGTGCCATTCCTGGCTGCATAGCCAGAGGAGGAGCGCCAGGGAGGGGAAGAGAAAAGGAGTGAGCAGGGGGTGGGAGGGAGGGAGGGAGGGACATGCTGTGTGCATGCTTTGAAAACCAGCACGCAGAAAGCATAAGTAGGCAGATCTCTGAGTTCCAGGCCAGCTTGGACTACACAGTGAGTTCTGAGCCAGTCAGGGCCGAATAGTGACAGCTGAATAGTGAGACTTTCTTAGAAAGAAATAAAGGCGAAGAGAGAAAAGACCATCTGAGCCTGGAGATGTGGCTCAGACCATGGAGTGCTTGCCTAGCTATAAGAGGCCTCGGATTTGAGCCCAAGCACTACATAAACTGGATGTGATGACATACCTGTCATCTCAGCACTTGGAAGGCAGAGGCAGGGGGATCAGAAGTTCAAGGTCATCCTCAGTAACACAACGAGTTTGAGGCCAGCCTGGGCTACATGATATGCTAGTGAAGAAGATGAAGAGGGCGATAAAGACAGAAGGGAAGAGAGAGGATGATGATGAGAACCACCTATATGGCCACAATCTAGAAAGCCAGAATCAAGATAACCTACCCACCCTTCCCAGTGGGCTGCCTGGCATGTGGGGGGACACTACATGCAGGGCCTGGGTATTCTGTTTCTACAGTCGCCTGTAGTTTACAGGGCTCTTCCTGTGAGCTGTCAAGTGTGCTGCATGGCACACAGCATGTCCTGGCCATTAATTCAGCCGATCTCACTACAGTCCAATACGTAGGCTCTGTTACTAACACCCGTTTATAGGGATATAAATACACTCCAGAGATCATGGAGCTTGCCCCCCGCCAAAAAAAAAAAAAAAGACCCTGAGGTACTAGAACTACTTTGGGAACGGACCCAAGATTCATCTGGCTCCAGGAACGCTTGTCAAGCCCATAGCGGAGAACTCAGAGTGCTGCACTTTGAAGCAGCGCCGCTGTAGGTCACCCTGGTCCACATCAGTTTTAATGAGGGATTCCAAGAAGTCACTACAACTCTAGTTAGGGAATTTAATAGGGTCTAATGGAGGTTAACAAGGTACACCCAACCTTCCAGCCAGGTTTCAGCTTACCGGAGCCCCGAGAGCATTAATGTGCAAAGGAGCACAGACATCTGCAGGATTTAATGGGGTTAATGAAGCCATCAGAGGTTGGCAGAGGAACAGTGCAGGAGCCTACTTCTGTTCGAGAGCCCGTCTTCTGGAAGTCCGTAGGTATTTCTTAAACAGCTGCCGCCCGCTGTTGCTTTCCCTGGGCACCACGTGGACAGCCAGCCAGGAAAGGCCATCGGCACCATGCCAACTGTGAGAGCCCTGGTTGGTAGGTTTGGGAGGGAGCTGCTTTTTGTTTTTTTTCTGGTGTTACCTCAGTATAATGGTCACCCGTTATGTGTACCCTAACATATAGACAGTTACATATAGTCTAAATAGTCGTGTAGCTGAGGATGACCTTGAACTTCTGATCTTCCTGCCTTTACCTCCTGAGTGCTAGGATTAACAGGCACACACCACCACTTCCAGTTTGATGGGGTGCCAGCAATCAAACCCATAGCCTCATGCATACTAGGCAAGCATTTTACCAACTGGACCACATTCCCAACCTCCAAAGCCGCTTTTTAAAAATGCGTACGTACATTATGTGTAAATGTATGCCACCTATGTGCGTGTCCATGGAAGCCAGAAGAGGGTGCCAGAGGCCTTGGAATTGGAGTTACAGGTGCCTCTGAGACACCCAACGTGGGTGCTAGGAACCAAAACCTGGCCCTCTGGAAGAGCCCCAAGGACTCCTAACTGCTAAGCTGTCTCTCCGGTTCCCTGAAGCCGGTTGTCCAAGGCCCTCCTGCTCTCTGTTTGCCTCCTTTGAGCTCTGTCCCCCACCCATGTAGAAAAGCATAAGCAGTAACTCCAGGTTGACAGTGCTTCCCTGCCTCATTCAAGGCCCCACAAACAACGAACACAACAAAGCAGTCTTAAATCTGGGCAGCACTTGCGTCTTCTAAAGGGCCGTCACCCAGTTCTCTCCATAGGTTCCATCACGTGCTGTGGAACAGCAGGAGCAGGAAAGAGGAAAGAAAAACGCTGTATTTGCCACTAAGAACTCACCGTGTGCCAGGCTCCATACCAAGCACCTACATGCCTCAACAGCTGCCATCTTCATCAAACCAGCTATGCCTTGCTTGTAAGAGGCCATCTTGGACCAACAGAGCCTGGTGACTCTTGACCCTCCTTCTCTGAAGTCATTAGACCCTCCCCTGAGGTTCCAGCAGCTCCACCTGGCCACTTGTGTGCCATTACCCCCTAACTGCCCTATGGCCTAAGGAGACTCCTGATGAAGATGGCGGCTTGTAATCTGGGGGAGCGTAACTAAAGAAGAGCTCCAGCTGTTGTGGCTGTGGGGAAGCCATCACATGTGCTGGGAGAAGACCTTCCAGTGCAGCTGTTTCGTGGTCACCCATGCTCCTGTGGGCAACCTCTCAGCCATGGTGTGGAAGGACACACAGCAACTCCTTGCTTCCCCTGGGGTGAACCGGTGAGATCATACTTTGGTTTGTCCCTGGGATCTTAGGAAGAGAGGTAGACATTGCTTCCATCTCCGTGGGGAGGAATTCTCGCAACAGAGACTCTTGTGATCGGTACTGCGGTTACCACAATTTGTAGATGAGGAAATAGATTTAGGAAGGTGATGTGTGCCCCCCAAAAGAAACAATAACATATGCCATTGAGGATGTGGAAGAGAAGAACCACAGTCACTGTGGGTGAGAGTACAGACTAGCACAGCCATGATGGAAATCTGTGTGGAGGCCTCGCACAAAGATTTAAAAAGAGAAGTTGCCATTCGACCCCACTATACCGCTGTTAGGAAACTACCTAAAGGACTCCATTTTTCTACCACAGAGACACATGAACATTCTCATTCCTTCACTGCTCTACTCACAATAACTAGGAAATATCTTGTAGTACAGATACACCATAGAGTTTTATTCATATATTTAAAAAAAAAAAAAAAAAGGAAATTGGGTCTGAAGAGACGGCTCAGAAGTTAAGAGCACTGGCTGCTCTTCCAGAGGTCCTGAGTTCAATTCCCAGCAACCACGTGGTGGCTCACAATTGCTTGTAATGAGATCTGGTGCCCTCTTCTGGCATACAGGCATACATGCAGACAGAACACTATGCATAATACATACATACATACATACATACATACATACATAAAATCTTTTAAAGAACGGAAATCACTGAATATAGTGATGCGTACCTTTAATCCCAGCACTCAGGAGACAGAGGCCAGCCTGGTCTACATAGTGAGCTCCAGTCTGTATCAGTCAAGGATACATAGAGAGGCCCTGTCTCAAAAACAAAGAAGTC